AATATAAGCTTATAGCAGAGTTAATCTAGTTGTGTAGCAGTGGGAAGAAAGACCCACAACTCTCCATTCCACAACTCAGTTCTCCACCACCACATGTTTGTTCAGCATTTAGCATACCAGAGAAAGATGTAGCAATAGCTAAACATCTTTCAAGATTTAGCAGTCTCACGTAAACAAGAATCTCAAACCAAAAGGCTCTTTTCAGAGCCATTATTTAACAAAAGAGAAGCAGTTGCATAGTCTGCATTTTTTTTTTGTTTTTTTTTTTCATTTAATTTGTTAACTCACATACACATACATAATACTTTACAAAAAAAAAAAAAACTTAATAGTAAAAGAAATAAGAATAATATTACATTACATAATAAGTGTATAGACATTAAGAGGCCAAAATAAGTTTAGAATCAAACTTTAAGCCATGACCACCAGTTAAAATTATATTAGGCATACATCAATAAAATATTATAAATACAATTCAATAATAAATAAATAATAAAGTTGAATTAAGGCAGTGTGTCAATTATTCATTAATTTGACCAAAATGTCAAGTTTACAAACAAGCACATAGCAATTATAACACTACACACTACATTAATTATTTGTAGAAGTCTAATGAAGATAAGCCTATCCAATAGTGACGTTAAAGGGTCGAAACCAGGACTTTAGATTGACAATGATTGAAAAATGTTAAATAATAGGCACAATGTATACATCCTATGTACAGAGTCCAGTTAGAATATGTAATTATGCATCAAATTGATATATTATTATTACTATTATTATTATTATCATATACATACATACATTACAAATATATATTTGAATAGTTTCGTATTTCATGTAATTCAGCTTGTCAGATGTTCTTTAAAGGCACAATGCTACACCACCTTCGTTAGGACCCACTCTTAAATATGCCTCTTTCCCGCTTTGGCTCCTCACACACAAGCCAATATCAATATACCTGTATATACTGTATATATACACTTTTGTATTAACAAAATAAATTTATTTAATTCAAGATTTGAAAAAGATGACATTTATCAACTTTATGATGTTTTAAGAATTCCGCATGAAGGGCGATGCAAAAATGGATCCGTATTTGATGGAATCGAGGCATTTTGTATGTTTTTTTTTATCGTTTTGCGCATCATGTCGATATGCAGACATGGTTCCACACTTCGGTCGGTCATAACAGAGTTGTTTTTGGCAACGTGCAAAACCGTGGACATCATTATTTACAACAATTGTATTGGTCAAAGATACATTGCCATCATGTACTGTTATAAAAGAAACAGAAATCGGTACCAGTTATTTGATGGAATCGAGACATTTCGTTTTTTTTTTTATTCCGGAACTTGCAGTTGTATTGGGTAGAGTACTATTAAACGTTAATCTGAAAAAGTAAAATAAATGAATATTTACTAACTTAGGTACAGTATGTCATTTATTTTTTAGGCCCTAGCCTAGCGCTAGGCCATGCCTAATTATAGGATTAATATATTAAAGCTCCATTCCCGGCAAAATTTCACTAAAAACTGACTTTTTTTAGAAAATATGCATTTGCATTACTCCAATTATTATAAATCATGGAAAAATATTGGCATGAATTTTAGTTTTATGAAAAAGAATTAAAAAAAATGAGAAATACAGACTATTTCTCATAACATATTACCATTTTCTCGACGAATTCATCGCTACTAGGCAAATTCAGAGGTTGTAGATCGCATCCACTGGAATACTCTTGCTTTTATGTATACTTTATACAGTCAATAAAGTGCGCCCTCTCTAATGAGATTAGTTTTTGTACTTCGCATCTCGCACAATGCGGTCGTTCGCTTAGGCTGAGATATGTTTGTTTAAGTGTCAGAATCTCAGTCAGAATCAATTTTTTAACAAATATTATATTTCACAAGTGTCAATACTAGAAACGGAAAATGTCATATCGGCCGTTTTTATGTGTGACAACAGAACCTAAATCGAGGTAAGGCTAGGCCTAGCCTAGCAGCTTTGGATAGGCTAATGTTTTCGGCACCTACAATATTTCTTCTCACGACCTATCGCAAAATCAAACATGAAAAATTCATCTGCATTTATTTTTTGTGTGGAACACAAAAAATCAATTTCATTCTTATTTTACATTTATTTCATTCTTAGGAATGTCAAAATTCAGTTAAACTAGCAATTCCATATTATATTTATAAATCTTTATAACATTATACAAAAATTAGATTTTTCTTAAAAACTGAAATTTTGCCGGGAATGGGGCTTTAATAAATAGCTCAATGCAGCTGATTTTTCGTATCTAATTTATTTTTATATTTTTTCTTCAATTCATATATTTGTAGGGCTTTATGGTAGTAGTAGTAGTAGTAGTAGTAGTAGTATGTAGGATACTAGACCTACATAGGCCTATATAGACCTAGCCTTGGCCTATTATACTACTAGGCCTAGGCTAGGCCTGCCTACACTATATTTAGGCCTAGGTGACAGGTCTATGGGGTGGGCGTTCCCGAAGTTTATCTGGATATCGATCGAAGCCTTACGTTATTTTTACTCTATGAAAGCAAACAAAAACACAAGTGATATACCTATACCATCAATCATTGAAACAAAAGTAATCATATTCATATAAAACGTTTAAACTTACAATTTTCTAGCCATATTTTCTTGGTGAACAACAACAAAGCCCAGGAAGAGATTCGCGAGCTTGAAAACGAATCTAATGTTGACCTGGTGTTGACATGATCGACGACTGCCAATTGACGTACTGTGATTGGTCAGAAGTGTATGTCTGCGTCTGTGACGATGGATTCCCGGCTGATTTTACGTCATCTACGAATGAACTCGACGAAAGTACCCAAGCATTATAAATATAATTACGCATGCGCATATGCCTTACAATAACGTCATACCGTTCCAAGTAACTCGTCGTCGGCGTCGCAGATACTCTTTGGTCGCAGATCTAAAACTCGCTATTCTATCGCTTGAGACTAAAGACCTATTCAGCCTACCTGGATGAGGGGCCTACTGGTAGAGAATTCTTAACAGATTGTCAAGCTATTGAGATGTTTGTGGTCTGCCTAAAATTATCCAGTACTAAAAAGGTAGACTAGGCCTAGCCTAGGATAGGCGGTATAATTAATAGGCCTGGCTAGGGCCTAGCCGGGTGTCTGTCAACCCGTACCCAAACCAACCCGTACCCAAACCAACCCGTACCCAAACCAACCCGTACCCAAACCAACCCGTACCCATACCAACCCGTACCCACTTGAGTCAAACCGTACCCACGTTCCCACGTACCCATCTGTACCCACGTCATTTTGGTCAACCCGTACCCAAAATATATTTGTATCTGTACGATCTCGTGCGGTCTGTAAGATTGTCGTTGCCGCTAATATTATTAAGGTAGGTTTTCTCTCTGGGCCTTTTTTTATCTTTTCTCATAATTTTCAATTTTATTTTCATTAATTTTCTCTGATTTTTATTTTTTCTTTCTCTTTTCTTTTGTCTTTGTGTCTATTCTTTATTTCTTTATTATATATTTAGTTACTTTATATATATATATATATATATATATATATATATATATTTTTTTTGTTATTATATATATTCTTTATTATATTATTTATTATTTATATATATATACATACATATATGCATATATACATATATATATACATTATATATATAATATATATGTATTCTTTATTATATTATTTATATATATAATATATATATGTATTCTTTATTATATTATTTATATATATATATATATATATATATACATACATATATACGCACATACATATATACATACGTACATATATACATACATATGTATGTATGATTTAGAGCCGAGCACCTGATGATTGAGGCTGTGCCCTCATGAAACAGTCTGTAGTGCAAAATAAAATGTAGAGTTTGTAACCTAGTGTCTTTGATTACTTATTTATATTGCTCTACGTGTGTATTGAGCACTTTTGTCTTCATGATGTGGTTCAAACTAACCACGCAGATTACATACACATATATATATATATACATACATATATACATAATATATATACATACATATATATATGTATATATATATATATATATATATATATACATATATGATTTTATGTCAAGCATTGACAAAGACTACAGGAGTAGCCGAAATATTCGCCTAATAAATTTTAGTGTTTCTAAAGTCAACAACTTACGTATTTGAGTTTCTTTACTGTTACGTTATATTATATTATACATACATAATATATAAATATATATACATACATACATATATACATACATGTATATATATGCGTATATATACATATATATATATATATATATATATATATATATATATATACATACATATATATACATACATATACATATATATATGTATATATATATATATGTATATATATATATAAAAACAGTGTACAATCATTGAAAGTTGTATATACATAAAAAACTGGAGGGCTGCATTGGCAAACAAGATAGAAAAAAACAAAAACTCTGGAGAGATGGTAATAAGTTGCCAGATATATAATTTTATTCATATATATATATATATATGTATCAAATAAAACTCAGGAACAAGGTATATATTTGCCAAATTTAATACAGAAAATTCACAAACGTTTTCGGCCATAGGCCTTCATCAGGTGTACAGCATAAAAAAAAGAAAAAACTATATATACAAATATAACGGACGTAAGACAAAGCAACATAAGACGTGAAGCAACGCTATGACAGAAAAAAGAACAATAGCCTTAAGGGCGTATGCCAAGCTACAAGCTTGACAGCAGTCAAGATAAAAACGCGGGAAAAATATACTATGGTAAAAATCATATACATATATATAAACTATATATAAGAAGAAATAATATGTAGGCCTATATGAAAATAAAAATGAAAACGAAAAAAAAATATATATATATATATGAACAGTATATAAAAAAAAGAGCTGATCAATAAAAGCAACAATAATCAAACACATGGTCCAAAATCCAAATCCAAACAAGATAGAAATTAAAACGAAAAAAAA